CTCTAGCTCTTTATCCTTTCATCTTATTATCTTTCTATCTTTTTATCTCTTTATCTTTATCTTTGTCTTGGTCTTTGTCTCTGTCTTTATCGTTGTCTTTGTGTTTATCTTGATCTTTGTCTTGCTCTTTATCTTTATATTTATTTTATGTTTACCTTTACCTACTTTACCTTTACCTTTGTCTTTGCCTTTGCCTTTGTCTCTTTCTCTGTCTCTGTCTTTATCTTCATCTTTGTTTGTATGTTTATCTGTATCTGTATCTTCATATCATATGTGGAGGGGCTGAAGAGCTGTCTATGGTCCGACAACCCCTAGTGCGCTTATGTAAGTCAAGATAGCCCGGTCATATGTTCGCTTGCAAGACTTTTAACCACCGCAACTCGCCAATATACTGCTGCTACTGCTCCTGCCCCTGCTCCTGTTACGGCTACGGCCAGTGCTACTGCTGCTGCTGCTACGACCACTACTGTATTATGCTGGTCGAACATGGCACTGTTCTCTGTGCTCACTCGCACCGCAGGAGATGGACGAGACGCCGCAGCCGCACTCCCACGTCTCGAAGTGAAGCCCGAGCACTTGTGTTAAGCTTGTGCGCCGAGGGGCCCGGCTCCTGCCCGGCGAGTCAGACCTGCACTTTCTAGGGAGGGCATGAGGCGGCAAATGATGGCAAACGCCAGACTCTAGCAGTGACTCATGGTGTTGAGAGAGGCCTCTCCAAACGCAGCTCCAGGCTCGCACGTCGACTGCGTTGAATTTCAATGTTATGCCGTTTTTTCGCCAGGAGGCGACAACCACCAGAATCCCGACCTTTCTCAGGCAAGCCGCTGGCCTTCGTTGTTGCAAGCCCTTGGTTCTTGCTTTGCTCAGGGTCGATGCCAGGGGCTCAGTGCAGAAAAGAACATGTGAATGTCATCTGCGTTTGCCTGGGCACCCAGAGACCGTATCTCCGTAAAGGAGAGGTCCAGGTCACTATCGGGCATGGCACGGTAGTCGGTTGAAGGAACGAGCTTGCGCGAGAGGGTCACTTGACTTGCGCCTTCGTTTTAGGACGCGGATGGAGAGACGGCGACGGCGCCATCAGTGAGAGAAGCACGTCGCTCAGTTTCGAACTCTGCATTCAATCGGACAATCAATGGGGCACCAGGGGTGGATCTTAGGAACGGAATCTGTGATCATCCCATCCCATGACCAATATCGCACTGCGCAGCACAGTGGAGGGAGACCACCGCGGGGGGATTCCTGCACGACGAGTGGGACTGGCGCAAAAGGAGTGATTCAAAGCAGCATTGCGCAGTGGCGCAGCAAGCGTAAGAGGCATGTGCAAGATGTTGCATATATATATATATATATATATAGACGAGTAATTTCGTTTGGTATTTCCCCCCGATTGACACATATGTTTTCGTGCATTTTGAAGAGGGAGTGGGGACGAGGATCTCTGTTACGGCAATGACACGAGATGAAGGAACGGTCACATGTGTGTTGAAGCCGACAGGGCAAACGAGGAAGCCAAATCTAACACCAAGTTGAGTCCTATGCTCCAAAATCGAAAATGTAAGAGCCGAAAGCCAACCACCAAAAAAGAGCAGTAACAGACGAAGCCGACAGATACATACACCGACACTTTGCACTAGTTTGGACTGCTTCTTCGGTGGATGTCACGAGGACAACGGGCAATATGCCAAAACAGCGAAAGCAGTTGGAAAATAATTCCGACTGCCCAGGGATCTATGATCTGCGCTGGAAAGCCTTGTTGTCGTGTAGCACATGGGTGTGCGAAATGACAACTTTGTCTTTCTTGCTTACATTCATCGAGACACGAGGATCTGCGCATGTCGATTGACACGAACATGTTCATGTCCGTGGCCATTTTGGTATAAGACTCAATCTTTAACTTTTCTTTTCCCTCCCGACCCTACCCGATTCTTAAGAGTAACGATTTTCCTCTGCTTTCGAAGTCTGCGAGAACCGACTGGGAAATCGGTCGGTCTTCTAGACATCAAGAGACATTTCTGTACGAAGTGTTCAACGAAGGGACTTCGAAAGAAGCCCGAACATCGCAGACTATGCTACCGTTGCGAAAGCAGTTGGGAAAGAATTCCGATTGCTCACGGATCTATGATCTGCGCTGGAAAACTTTGTTGTCAGTGCAATTACAGACAATACTTTGCACGACTGTTTGGGCTCAGACGAGGGGAAGAAGATTACAGGACATACCTGCTATGCCTATTGGTGTTTGGATGGTGTGGGCTCTAGTGAACATATTCGGGAACCAACGCTCATGGTACAAGTTGCTGTGACGGTTCCACTCGGGAAAACGAAGATGATACAGATTTTGAGGACAGTTGTATTCAGGAAGAAGCGATGATGATGCAGACTTCAATGACGGCTGTGACGGGGAAGCACCCTACAATTACCAATACAAAAGGGGGATAGGTATTTAATACATAGTAGGACAAAATCCGGAACGATTATTCGCCCTCTGAGGAGTTGTAGGTGAAGCGTTGTATCATAGTGTGATCAGTAGTACAGGGGCATGACAATATTTAGCATGATTATTTGTGTTCGGAGGGGTTGTAAGCAACGATGCTTGGTATGAGTATTTGTAGGGTGGGCTCTTTGTGTTTGGATGGCTGTGACATAGTAAAAGTTGCGGTGATGGAGGGTTCCAGGGATTATTACGTGGATTCTGAGGAGCCCAGAGGACAAGATGTTTCGAGATCGTTTTTTTGTCGGGTGAGTGGCATATACTCATGCGTGAGTGTGTGTATATGTATGTACGTATGATAGTATGTATGTGTGTACATGCATGTCGCATGTCTGTGCGCATGTGTCTCTTTGTGCGTACACGCTTCCGTGGTTTACATATGAGTATGTATGAACATGTATGTATGTATGTATGTAATCTCATGCAAGGTACTGCAGTGTATGGACGGCATGGAATGTTTGGAATGCATGAAATCCATGGAATGTGATGTAATGTGATGCGACGTGATGTAATTTAAAGTAATAAAATGAAATATGACGTAATGTAATGTATGTAATGCAAAGTATGTAGTGTAGCGCAGCAGCGATGATTGCGTATTTTCGGGAGGTCGTGGAGGCCTTAAGGGAGTAGTCAAGGAGGCCGGTGAAGCATGCAACAGGAATTGTACTGATTTGAACCCGTTGTGGCTTCGCACAGCGGTTCGTACGCTACCACTTCGCTGGACGTGTCTGTGGGATTCAGCTCGCGTCTACAGCCTTCGGGTGCGCCAAGACCTCGGGATCTACATGCGCTGGACACAACTTGGGCGAGCAGTTCGTAGTCGCAACCTTTACAAGCAAAACGATTTGCCAACTTACCAGCGCATCTGGCATGAGCTCTCGCAAGACGAAGGGCGATTCCTTCGAAACGAACCTTCCTTCGTGTTGCAAGACCACGGGCCCGTGTTGCTACCAGGCATGATGGGGCACTTGATTTTGATAAGGGCTTGGCACGTTGTTGCGGCCTGATTTATCTCGCTTCATGCAGCAGTTCATGGCGCTGCGGACCTGTAATTGCCACGTGCTTGCTTGCTTGATGTCCAGATATCACCTCTACCAAGGTGTTTTGACACCTAGGGTATGTATTCTGTGATTGCTTTGCGCTGCAAAGTCTGAATCAGTGACCTGTGATGTGGTTTGGTGTGATTGTCGTGGTTTGCTGTGTGTGTGTGTGTGACGAACTATACTAGTTACTGTATATGAATGAATATGTATGAAGGAATATGTCTGTATGTATGTAGGTAGGTGGGTGGGTATAGGCATATACATATATATATATATATATATATGTTGACACGATACTGATTTCCTCAAGGAGTATCTTACAAGTATATGATCTGGTGCTAGTTTTAATTAAGGTTGAATCATGGTTGTATCATACTAATATTTCGCTATGTTCAATCTTCGAGGAACAGTACTTCGCATTACAAGGAGAGTCTTATTTGTTTAGATATATATATATATATACACACACGTAGACAGTACCATACATCTTCTTTGTGTAAGTGCCAACTAGTTCATAGCCATGAATTTGGTATGCTTGATATCCCAACCGCAAGGTTTCCGAGTTGGCTTGTAGATCAGATGGATCACAAAGCAAACGTCAATCGGATCTCAGCCACAGGGCCCTCATGACCACATTCGGTTTCGGTTTCGTGGTCCGCATCGAGTGGCATCCAGTCCGCGACAGCCACAACCCGCTGCCGATCGCTTCGTTTTTTGGATGCATAGTTACCGTTTTGACTATTGAAGCCGGAGGTCGCGCAATTCGCGCAAACAACTCTCAGTGTCCTCCCGGCGATTCCTGTCACAAAGCCCCCATCTGTGGTGGTTGGCAGCTAGGTTTCTCATTGACTGCTCGGAGCTTCGCCTCAGGCCCCGGCAGAATTGGCTGCAGAGCTTTTTCCTGACGAGAGGTGCCAAGGGCCAAGGATGGCCAAGGGCAGCGCTCTCACAGAACGCTTTTGAATGCCAGGCGGCTCTCTCCTGGGCAGGTCCCGGAGAACGAGGTCCGGCCCCGCGGCCTGGAGCTAAACGAATAAAGCTCCGCTCGGCGCTGGGAGGTGACGAGCCCGGCCTTGCCGAGCCCAGCACTGCCGTCACAAGGGCTTCCCTCACCACAGGCGGGCCCCGGGCCCCTGCCCTCTTTCGTGCTCGGGCGCGATATGCAGTGCGTCCTGCAAGACAAGCCGGAGTTTAACGTTGGTTGGGTGTGCCTGATATGGGGATCGAATGAAGCGTGTTGGAGGGACAGTGCAAAAGGCGCGTAGCCTCAGTCGTGCAACACTGTGCTGAATTGATACCAGATACATGTTGACGATCGAAGACGGTCTTGCACGGCAGCAGGGGAGTTCTTGGAAATCTCACCCTGAAATAGAACGGAGCCGGGAAGTCGTGTTTCGGGCGAGACGGCTATGCGGTAACAGCCCAACCAGGCCGATTTCCGGCGCGCAACGTCCTCGCAGACATCGTCGATGAACGACTCAGAGGACATTACAGTGCCAGAGCGTCCAGCGTCCACGAGCTTTAGCAAACACAGACGCTTTCAACACAGGCTTCCGGCAAAAGTGTAGAGGTTTCAAAGCTGCTTAGTTTGGGCTCGGAGCCAGGACACTCCATCTGGGAGGAGCTTGCACTCCACTACGCGCACAGATCGCAGGAGACGGTGCGGGCACATGCACACGGTGTTGCTGCGCACGGATCGCGCAGGATGAGCGCCGTGCGACCAATGCAGTCGCCCCACGGGCCCCAGCAGCAGGAGCGAGAAGTGCCGGGCCCGCGCTTTGAGGAACAGCCTGGAGATCCTGCCGAATTATTTGCACGAGCAAGACCTTGACAGAGAGCCTTACGGCATCCGGCCGCCCTGGCCTTACGTTCAGTTCACCCATGGCCTTCCAGTCACCCTAGATGCGAGGCTCTACCGACGAGTTGCCGATGCTGTGGCGAAGCCGTTTCGCTGTTGGCGCGCTCCCCCCGGCAGGCAGTGGTCACGTAGTTGGGGAGTGGTCACACGCGGTCCAAGCTCCTGCCGCAAGCCATCGCAAGCCGCAAGCTCCTGCGTGGCGAGGAGTCCTCCGACTCGGAAGGCCGTGACCAAGGTCAGGCCGAGCCTCAGGCACCCACAGGGCACAGAAACGCTCGCCGCATTCTCACGTCTGCCAGCGCTCGCAGACAGGACCGGAGGCAGCACGAACCTCGAGGCTGGGACTCCGCATCTCCGCAGAGTCCGCCTTCTCGGGCGGTTCAATCGAGGCCAAGATAGCCATGAAGGCTCACGGGCGGCTGGCTCGCAGGCGAGTGGCCTCGCCTGGTCTCACGGCTTCTACCGTGTTGTGCTCAGGACCGCCGTGGTCTTGCAGGCCTCCGAGATGGAGAAGTTGAAGAGCAAGGACGGTCGACAGAAGGCGTTTAAGCGGTGTAGCACGCGCTTTGTCGAAGGCTTGGAGGCGCTGGACGAAGGCCGATTGGCCTTTCGCGGACCCGAGCGGAAGGCCGCGGCAGTGACGGGACCCCAGCACTCAGCAATCAGCAGAGACTCAGTCATGCGAACCTTTTCCAGCAGAGATTTTTGAAGCCGCCGAAGGTGCCCCCTGAGTGTGTCAGGCTGGGACATGGTCGCCTCTGCGCTGTTGTGCCTGCAGCTCCTCTACCTGTGCCACGGCGAACTTAAACGGCTTTTTTTCGCTTTTTGCTCCAGTGCTCCAGCTCAGGCCGTATCTCTATTGACCAAGGCCCTTTCAAGCAGCTTTTGTGAGCAACGCAGACTTCCAGGCAGGCGGACCTACAGTATCCATGGTGCACGCGCATTGTGCATCGCCGAATCGCAATGGAGGACCCCGCCTTCTTCACCATAAATGGTAGTCTGCTGGCTATGGACGTCTTCTGGACTGCTGACTTGGCAGGGAACTCGGAATGCACCCTGGTTGGTCCTTAGGGCCTCTGACTATGGATGTTCGTCTCAGTTGCTCAACTTCACCACGGGATATCGAGATGCAGTGCAGGCTTTGATCTTTGATTTCCCCTTTCTCTTTCAACTTACAAGCGTCGGTTGCAGGTGCTTCACTGCGACTTCCGGTCGACGGCCGCTCATTATTTAAGGCACACGCCGCATGGCTGCTACTTCAGCACGATTGAAGTTCCGGAAGGAGTTGGTTTACTGTGGACCTCCTCGCCACAGTGCCGGCACTGTTGTGCCTTGGCTCGGTGAAGCAGAAAACTGAGGGGCTGGAACTCGCCAAGCTGATCACAACCCGTCAACAGTTGAGGTTGCACTTGCTCGTTCTGGACGGTCAAATCAGGCTGCAGAAAGAGATGGAACATGCCTACTCGAGGGCAGTCTCCTGTGCCAAGGAGGGACGAGAGCCACTTGTGGATACTTCCTCAGAAGGGCGCTGCGAATCGCTGAGCAGCAAATGTCGACCCCACCTCAAAAAAGGCCATTGCGATGGCTCGGATTCTCCCCGTTCTTGCGGACTCCGAGGCTCTGCATCTTGCCGTAAGCTTTCTCCCGAGACAGAATTGGTGACAGGCTATGGCGGGCCTTCCGCATGCTGCGCCGACTGGAAGCGGGGATTTCTTTCGTCTGCACAGCTCATGATATGTGACACAAGATCGCTAGTTTTGGATCGCTACTCCCTCTCGCACTACTCCCTGGTCCTGGTTGCGGTCGGATCCAGAACTCATGAGGTGCTGCCAGCGACGGTAGAAAACTGCTGACTACTCTTCTGTCAGAGGGCCACGCATCAGACTTTCTGCAAAACAAAGCTGCAACCAGAGAGACAGAGAGAGAGAGAGAGAGGTCTTGCAGCACAACAGGACAGCCATCCAGCAAGAACACGTAGGACTGAACATGGCGCAGGGTGAAACCACTTGATTGTGGGCAGCGTGTGACGGTTTGGAGGCCAACTTGAAGTCTTCGCTGGTCTCATCCGTGGTGGCTCTCGTGCAGCAGAGACCTCGCAGAAGGGGCGCTAAATCGTGCCCGCGCAGAGCTCCGTTTCGTCTCCGATTCGTCCCAGCCTAGGCTTTTCATGCTGCCCATCATCTTCTCGCACATCTCTGTCTCGCTCCCAGCTTGAGCTGGCGGGAGAGTTTCAGCAGAGAGTGGAATTCTGTGTGGTTCTGTGTTCACTCTTTGAATCATGTTTAGACAAGGCATTTTCAGCCTTCCCAGGCCTGTGGCCTGTGGTATCTGGGTCGAAGCAACCTCGCCGGGCGCCCATCAAAGGGACTGAAGCAGAGAGATCAGTCAGCGGATTCTTGTTACTCTGACGGCAGCGCGAATGGTTTCAGTCCTTGTAGCGCTGTGCCATGCAAGGAGTCAGATGCCACAACTCCGAGTTGGATCAAGGCCGTCAATATGGCAGCACTATCCAGTTGACGTGGAGCAGCATCCTCTTCTGATCATTCTGGGGCAGTTGGGCTTGGACATCTCCGATTCCCCAGGAGCTTTGGAGGTGCCTTTTGACTGTGAGTCTCACTGAAACGAAGCTGGCAGCACTGAGAGTCTGTGACACCACACCTTGAGTGTAAGTCGTCTCTGGTGCACCGAAGAGTCAGGAGATCCGAGCCGAACTTCCCATTCCCAAGCCTCTAAAGCTTCCACCGGGGAGCTGTGCGATGCTCCGATGCTCAATACACAGAATCCAAGAAGTGCCCATAGTGCCAAAAGCATGGGCATCTGGGCATCCCTTGGCCTGAAAGAGAATTTGAGTTTCATTGCCGACGGCGGAGAAGGTGGGCTCTCCATGTCCAGGTCTTCCAGGTCTTGATGCTAGTCGCCCCATCGCCCCATCACCATCGACATGCCACGAAAAGGGATTCAGATGTCAACCTGCGACGGCGGGGACGGACGCTTGGGGCACCGTTCAGCTTGTCTTCCTGCTCACGACAGTCCTTACTGCTCTTGGATTCCCAGCTTGACCTGTTTTCAGGCCGTGCCTGTGGGAGAGCGCTACATGACAGCCATGTACTTCGCCATCACCGACATGGGCTCGGTGTGAACATCAATGCGCCGTGTTGAGCCATGTAGAAACGGTCCCGAGGTAATGTCCACCGTGGGCTTGGGCGACATCAACATGAACCTGTCAAACGAGAGGGCACTGCTATGTGTCATCATGCTCCCGGGCAGCAAGCTCCAGTGTTGCCTCTGTCCTGTCCCGTTGCAATAGCCTTGTTGTCAGGGCAACCACGAGCCTCGTAGTCGGAGTGGCAGTGAATGGCGTGGCCACGTCTGCTTCTCGGAGAGGGCGTGCGCTCTGATGTGCATTGGTGTAGACAGTATTCAGCATATTCGCTTGGGACAGTCACATCTCAGGATTGTGTCAAAGCTCAGCGAAAGGAGTGCCAGCAAGTCCAGTCTGTTTCTGTCTTGCTGTTTCGCCGAGAGGACCGCGGTGACAAACGAGCAATTGGCGAAGGCAGATCGCGTGGATTCATGCTGTCTTTCTGCTGTGGGGCAGTCACAGCACGTTTCGTCACGCATGCGCATCCGCTCGCTTGCATCAGGTTTCGCGCTTCTTGAGGGTGTATTCTGTGCCTGGTGACTTGCAGTCGCGTGCTGCGGCCCTACTCAACAAATTCACGATTTATTCCACGCATCGCACTGCCAGCTATGACGTATGTGTGTGGCGTAGGTCCACAACTACCTCCTGCAGTTCTTCGAGAACCAGGACCATTGATTATTGTTGTGCTAAGCTTTAAAGAGGACATCAGGGTGTGAAAAAGAGAAGCCCCGAAGTTGCAGGAGAGAGAGGAGACCAAGTCTATGCTCATGAAGTGGCTGAAAAAGTCACACTCCTCGGACTCGGACGGATTCTCCCTGCGGCAAGTCTAGGGGCTGCGCCCAGGGGCGGGCAGCGCAGGTAGACGCCTGAAGCAAGGCCACGCGTCAGCCCTGCGCCAAACCCCGCCGATGCTGATGATGCGCGCCCTTTGGGAGCTTTCCGCAACCCATTCAAAAATGGAGGCGCATTTATTTTGTTTTTATTTGGTATTTTTTTCCTTTTTGACTGAGTGCGTGCGCGTGCGGTTCTCCTGCCTTCCTGTCGTGCATGGCTTCTTGGCTTTTCCATGCCCCCTCGGCTTCTTCTAGTATCGTAACTTGGAGCATACTGCCTTCTCGTTTGGCATGGCTTGCTGGCTTTCTGGTTTCCTTGGCTTTTGGTTTCCTTGGCTTCTTGGCTTTCGGAGCATACTGCCTTCTAGTCTTGCATAGCTTCCTGGCATCTTGGTTTCCTAGGCTTCTTGGCTTTTCGGCCTCTCGGCATTTTAACGGAGGGCGTATTTCTTCACTCCTTTTTTTTTTTGCTCCCTTCTTTTTTTCCTGTCCCCTTGGTCCTCTGGTCCGGTGGTCCTCTGGTCCCCGGGTCCTCTGGTCCCTTGGTCTTCTTGGTCCCCTGGTCCGGTGCAGCCCCTGGTCCTCTGGTCCAGTTTTCAGGATGTATAGTAAGTATATAAGGTTACAAGTATACCTTTCGAAGCAAGAGTGAACAAAGGTGGCTTCTTGGCTTTTCGGCCCTGGGCTTCTTAGCCTTTCGACTTGTTATAGCTTCGTGTATTATAATATACTATGTTATATTAAATTACAGATATATATATATACCTATATGTATAGTAAAGTGTACTATCTTCTAGTATATTGTATTATATTCTATCATCTTATCCAGGGCCCTCTGTTCGACGTGTTTTGCGTTCCAGGCCCAAAAACATGTCAGTTAACATAGAGACCCTTAATACATATCAGTTAACATAAGACATATATCACTTAAGTGGCATAGATATTGACGAGAAATACGGGAGTTCGCGTCCCCGGGGCTACATTAAATACCCCTGACCCACAGAAAACCCTTAAAACACTGGGATTGAGGGTTCGCCATCTCTTCAGGTGTATGAAGACTTGGGGCTCGGGGTTTTCAGGGATGTTGTATCAAGGGGTTCGCTATCACTTGAAGTGTTTCAGGGCTTCGGCCTGTCGGTTTTGACGGGTGTTGTGTTCGGGGCTCAGCAACTCTTCCAGGGCTTCAGGGCTTGGGGCTGTGGGTTTATGTTATGTTCTGTTGAAGATGGGAGCTGGGGTTCGTGGCTGCACAGTTTCTAGAGGGCTTCATGGCCTGGAACTCTCGGCTTCTAGTTGCTAACTGTTCAGGGTGAGGAGATTTAGGGATTTGGGGCTTGTTATCGTGGAGGTTTTGGTTGGGTTTCAGGGCTTGGGGCTGGGGCATTGAGTTCGGTTTGAAGATCGAGGTTATGGGACTCGGGTTGGGTTTCAGGGTTCGTGGTTTTCGTAAGGTTCAGCGTAGCGCTTCGAGGTGCTAACTGTTCAGGGTGAGGAGATTTAGGGATTTGGGGCTTGTTATCGTGAAGTTTTTGGTTGGGTTTCAGGGCTTGGGGCTGGGGCATTGAGTTCGGTTTCAAGATCGAGGTTATGGGACTCGGGTTGGGTTTCAGGGTTCGTGGTTTTCCTAAGGTTCAGCGTAGCGCTTCGAGGTGCTAACTGTTCAGGGTGAGGAGATTTAGGGATTTGGGGTTTGTTATCGTGAAGATTTTGGTTGGGTTTCAGGGCTTGGGGCTGGGGCATTGAGTTCGGTTTGAAGATCGAGGTTATGGGACTCGGGTTGGGTTGCAGGGTTTGTGGCCTCTCAACAAATTCTGCTATGGATGACTCCATCGGAGACTCCTAAGGCGTTACAGGCCTCAGAGTGCAGTGAACTGCTCGACCCTATGAGAGGGAGCTGCTGGATCTCCGTCGTAAGGTTCAGGGTTGCGTTTCGGAAGGGTTCAGGGCTGTTGAAGGCTTCAAGCTTCGGGGATGGCAGGTCTTTTCACTCGGACTCGTCTGACTCGGCAGCTTCCAGTCTGGCATTGTGCCACTTGATCGCAGCATACCAGGCCCACCTCTCGAAGACACTCTGACCGAGCTTGACAGGGTTTTCCAGAATAGCCATCCTGAGTTCAGCATGTCGGAGCAGGCCTAGAGGCCCTGGGCAACTATTGATGGAAGCTATAGGGCCAGCCAAGTTTCCGTTTGATTCTGCCGACCAAATCCTCTTCTTGGTAGTTCGCCACCCGCAGTGGGTTAGTCAGTGCAGCAGCATCGAGCACTAAGTGGTCTAACCTTTGCTGCTCGCAGCGTTGAGTTCCATTCGATCTTAAGACACTTTCAGGGCGGGCGAATTAGTCTTGCCACCGTGCTGGCAGCCAGAAGCCGGCACAAGCAACTGCCGATCAGCTGCATCAGGGCCACAGGATCCCTACGGGGGCTTGGCAGGGAAAGGGAGAGGCAACACGGTGCAGCCAAGATTCGCATGGAATTTTGGTCTGATTTTCTAGAGTAATTTGCGAGCTGCGACAGCTTCACGAGCCAGTCCTTGGATCAGGCAAGGCAGACATGATTCTGGAGGTCTGCGATTATGATCGTGCTATACTTCCCTTGCCGCTGAATCTAGCCTGGTAGAACTGATGTATATGGACAGGGCTCCCATGAGAGAGCAATGATATAAATCACTGAAAAACTCAGCTTGTTCTCGTTCTTGCTGACTCAGCACACAGCCTGCATCCACGAAGGTGCATCGAAGTCGGTCCAGCCCGACGAAAACGCCAGCACGTAAGAGGTCGTGCTGGCTTTGTGTAACAGAAGCCACAGCCCAACATTTCCCAGCCAGCCAGCGCACCAGGACTATGGACTCCTGGATGAACATATATTACTTAAAAGGATCCTTAGTCTCCTCTCGAAAATCAAAAGCTGTCCAGACCAAGGCACAGCTCCACTCAAATGTTTCTGGGCCAAGGTAGGAAACTTCCCAGTAGCAGGATTGGCCTTCATTGCAGTGAGATCGAATGGTGGAGCTTTGCAGCCTCGATTTGTCTCAAAGGACCAAGCAAAACTAATCCCTAAACCGACCCCGACGTCAATATGTTCACTATGAAGCCCAGTATATCGGATCCCAATATTTTTTGCGCATTGGATCCCCCTGATTTAGGGTCCCCTAAACCCCGAGGACGCGAATCTCCCCAGGGTCTCTTAAATTCATATAATTTACATGCCATGTGGCGCACACTGTCCGCCCTGCATGCCGCTGCGTACTCGGCATAGGCATTGCTCAGTCGCTCTTGCTGATCACGGCCTTGCTTCTGAGGGCCGACTCTGGAGAAGGAATTACAGCAACCCGTTTAGCAGCTCGAGTTTTCATCCCAGAATATTCTATGCAACTTCTAGGCCTGGCCAGTGCGAAGCATCCTTTGTGAGCTCCAAGAGGGCCTGTAGGGAACAGAATTCTGCACAGACAAGCACTGCGACACTTAGCCGACGCTATGTAGCCTGCTGATGCCGCGGCGTCAAGTGCCAAGGCCAGATCAACAATATGCAAGTAGTCCGGCCATATACGAGAGGGCGTCATGCCGGGGCATAGCAACCAGGGACTGCGAGCAATGCTCTGGAAGAACTCTTGCTCAGTCGTCAACCTTGGGATGGAGTACCCTGCATAGACCACATGCTACAGGTTGCGTCCCTATGTTGTGTTCACCGGAACCAAAATCAAACGTGCATGCGCCAGGCAGTAGAGACACGTATTGCGGTGCCGTGCATTACAGCCAGTTTCTGTGTACAGCAGCCCAGTGCTTGCATCAGAAGAAGCCTTCAGGGGTCAGAACTTTTGGGTTTGATTTGAACCACACGTACAAGCTCGAGAGGTCTAGATTGATCACTGCCCAGTTGAAGACTGCCCAGCCTGGCAGAAGGGACAGATATTAGAGCTCACCCAGGAATTTGACAGCTTGAGAACCTTCTTGATATACGCTTGATCACCTTTCATGCCGACCCAGACTGCCCTGAAGGGGCCCATGATGCTGCCTCGGCGGGCAGCTGTCGACATCGGCAGCGGGTGACCAAAAGCATCGTGATCAAACAGGTGGCCCATCTGAAGTTGTTGAAAACTCCATACCACCTGCAGATCCAACTTCCCCCATGGTGTACTCGGATGATTGCGCATTGTCCAAACAGTACATTGGAAATAGCGTGTCCAGAGTTGCACCACGAGTAAGGGCAGATTGAAAGCTTGTCACCAAGAAGGTTCTCCGTCTGTGGGAGTCAGCATCATCCCCATGAACCTCCAGGGGAATGACCCTTGCCAGCTCGGCGTCCTGGGTTCACCAGTTGCAAAATCGATCATGCCCGGTCTCCAAGCCGGACTAGGAGTGATTATTGTCTGGCAGCACCAGAATGTTAACACTTGAAACCCTAAACCCGTGAATGCGGACCAGGAGCTGATAAGGTTGAAAGGAGGGGATGCTGCTGAAACCACCTCTGTTGCATAAACCATGCATGCATGTGACAGACCTAGCATCCTGTGTCACAGGCTCCTGTATTCTTGTAAAGTCACTGAAATATTGCCGATCGAGTTGCTCGGTGTGCTGAATGTTTTTCCAGAAACGAAGAGCATCCTCGGTTTAACGACTGATTCACCAATCCGAGGTGGGTCGACGCAGCTGCTTTTTGGATCCCTGAGCAGGAGATGATGCTGTCCAAGGCACACCGTCATTGCCGAGGAATAACCTTTGGAATTCATCCATCGAATAGTTGTAGACAGACCGGAGCCTCAGGAGCTGAGGGATCGATAGCCACCCCATGCACACTTTTAATTGCTATAGTTTAGGCTTTAGGACATCCGGGCTTCTGGGCATTTCGGCTCCTCTGCGAAACTGAGGCCTCGGGGATTCGCTGTTGGGGAAGCGTCTAGGGTTTAGGGTTTAGGGGTTTAGGGTTTAGGGAGGAGGGTTTAGGGGTTCAGGGTTTAGGGGTTCAGGGTGGGGCTTTGGGAGGAGGGTTTCGCGCTTGGC